GTCGGTCATTCGGAATCCTACTTCATCTTGTTTTTTTAAATTTTCTATAATAATGAAGAACTTGCATGATATACATGTACCTGGTGAGAGGTGCAAACAATTAGATAGACTTTTTTCCCATCAAGTGGTGACTTAAGCCCAGGCGCTTGTATATCTTTTTCATTATTGACATATCCACAAATTATCTTCAATAGACTAAGGTTAGTACTAGCTCCATCACATAGTAATGCACGAATATAAAAGCCAAATTAAGAGAACACAAGCATTGTCCTTTTCACCATTGAATGTAAAAATTGTGTTTCCATTAAAGGACTAGTGTAGTATGGTGCAACAACATCATAACTAATACTGAGGTGTCACCAGAGAAACTGGATTACGTAAGATGTTTCCTGACTCTTCTATTCCTCACTAAGGCCTTGATATGCATCATGTAAACTGATAAAATCATCAGAACTCAGAACAATAGCTGAATTGCTCCTATTCAGACAATCTGAGAGTGAACCTGAATGAATGAAAGAATAAAGCCACTATAGTATGGTTTCTTACCTTTACTGTATCCTTTTTTTATAAAGTCCTCATATGTGTGGCACATTCAAGCATGACTTGTCCAGGTGAACTGAAATAATTATTTATGTAATCTTTGAGTGTTCTGTCGCTCGGATGATGAAGAATGCCTAGTGATTAGATTGCATGGTAAGCAGAGGGACTTCTAGAAAATATTAATAAGCTACAATTGAAAAGACCTTAGTACAATGTAATAGAACATAATAAATTTAAAAAAACTAGGTTAAGTAGGATTCCAAACGACCCACGAAAATATGAAATGAAGATCCTACTCGTGATGCAAATACTAATCTGCATTGTACTTTTAATGTCACTATGTAAGAATTACGGATCACCTTGCCAAGTAGAGTAGAATTTGTGTCACGAATAGGATTTTCATTTCGTATTTTCGTTGCTCGTTCGGAATCCTACTGAACCTTGTTGTTTTAAATTTTTTATGTTATTGTTTGTGTTGATTTTTTAAAATATTTATATTTCTTTAGTTGCAATTGTCATACTTGTTGATTTTACACTAACTATAATTTTCTTTATTATTATTATTATCATTGTTATGACATTGATGAGAGACAGCATTGAATAGACATGCTGAAGGAATATCAACTATACTGATGACAAGTGAAACTAATAATAGTCTTGACACAAGTCCTTGTTCAAGAATCTGAGATAAGAGTGACCATCTTCCGTGCAATTCCTGTTCTTCCAGGCTGTTGTAAAGTTCATAATTATCACTACATATCATAAGTCATAACATTAATTAATTGTTTTTTTTAAATAAAATAACACATTTGATAAAATAGTAACATGTAAAACTAACACCTTTTAACTGGAAACCTCCACTAAAGTATTGCAGTAGTTGATTCCAAGCATAGCTTGGTAAAAAATAACTTGCTTCGCCTTCTTCCAGAGCTGCAGATGAGCATGTGCGACCACACCCTAATTTTGAAGCACATTCTTTAATTAACAAAATGGCGGCATGCAGCTAAGATGGGCCAGATCCAGCAGTTACAGTGCAACTTCTTTCTTTCTTGGAGAATTGTTATTAAGAATAGGGAGTTGTGCATACCTTATTGGAGGAGAATGGTGTAAGTATTTGACTTCTTTCACCAGGCAAGATCAAGATATCGACCAACAACTGGATTGACAGGAGATCATGATGAAGATGAAAAAAGGTGGCTGAACAAAAACAGCCGGTTGCAGATTTCTGACTTTCCTCTTACACAATGTCTCTTTCCTCTTAGACAATGTCTACAGCCACGCTAATGGTACCAATGGAGTCCTCTGGTCAAGATAAGGTCCTCTGTTAAGTCTGGTAAGTATAGAAGCTCGTTTTCCAGTACAGCCAGGCTGCAAATTTGTGGCAGCCGTTTTGAAGTGGGGTGAATCGTACATAGTCACGCTACCGCATTACTAATTAATGCTTACACAAACGAATAGTTACTGGAGACCATCGATTAGTGCTTATGTCGGAAACTAGTCAAAGAAAAATTAAAGTTATTTCAAATCCAGACTCCTGTTCAAACTACACTTACCATTTCTTTCTTGATCAGCTTGAAACTGTTGCCAGTCAGTGTAGTCTTTTGTCCATATATCTTTCAACTGATCTCCTAGTCCACCACTGACCTGATTCACTTACACATATATCTCAGATAGTTGCTGATGACCATTATCAGAGTTAACAATTCCATCTACTAAATCACCGTTTTCCTTATTTTGCTCCTCATTCATTGAGAGCCATTCAATTTTTATTGAGTAATAATCAGCCTTAACTTGCAAATTTTTAATCGATTTCCTCAAGCTGTCTACCCTTGCCTATTTACATGCAGGACTTAAAATATTGAATGGCACTATAAAACTAGAGCTTTGATGTTTAGCTCTTTCTGATGGGGTCAAGTAATCATGTTCCCTTTTCCTTATAGGAAGCTGCTACTTCAGAGACATACAGTTACTAAAAGTAGGTGAGCATCTCCTGTGTTGCTGCTAGTACATAAGAGCACACTCATGATCTCACACTGTGTTGGGAACACACTAATTCATCACTACTCGATTCAGATGATACCCAATAGTTGTATCATAAACTGAGTAGCCTTTGATAACAAGACAAACAACCCATGTATGGTGGTCAGCCAGTTTATCGCATACATAAACAATACTGCTTTTTTGTAATGGAGTGGTAATTCTAGAAACTTCAACAGACTGTATGAGCAACCAACTTGTAGCAGCCATCTTCAATGACATCCAGTCTGACAGCATCATAAGGACCAATGTCATCATTATAACTCTTCAGTTTTCTGGTTACCACTAGACGAATGTAAAACATTAAGGGGCTCAGCCCCCTAGCCACGCTATATTTCAAAGGTTATATGGTATTGAGCTACATTATTACATGTACATGAGTAAATACAGTAGTTTGTAAGTTTGTAATGAAGTTATCATGCTTGGAAATACAAATTTTCTTTATCAGTTTATCACATTCTGCAGCAAAAAAGTTGTATTGGAAGCCAGAGACAGTAACTGCAGTCATAGGTTAGGTCAGCCTAGTTGTGGAGGCTTTACAAGCTCACAACTGTGGCATGTCTGCCTTCTTAATCTTCCTTGCTGTATTTGGAAAGTAGTAGAGACTTCTCTTGCTGACTCAAGTGAGTGACTTGTAACTTGTAAGGTCAAGAACATGAAGAACAATGAAGAATTGATAGCTGGCGCCATTTCATTTCACTGTGACCACACCCGTTTTCAAAAAAGATGAAAATTAGGTTATTAAATTAGGAAAATTTTTTATACGGATAAATAGGGGTGACATACGTGTACAAACAAACATACTCTACTCGAACTAGTGGGCTTCGCCCAATTAGGAAAGTTTGAATGTTACTCTTCCTAGCATCAGCAGTAACAACATCAGCATTGAGCGAGGAATAACCTTCACATTCATGTATAAAGCTTTTCAAATGATGTAGTGAAAAGATTGCTTAGCTACTTTCTGGTACGACACTAGCTTTCTTGGCCACAGTACTCCTTAAGTCATATCTTACAAGTGTATCAATCCTTGACCCATTTCTGGTAGCTAGCCTAGGAGATCTCTTGGGGGTTTTATTGCCTGGAGTAACAGAAACTTCTTGAAAAGTGTGAATCAGTCAGTACATAATAATAAATTCATTTGGAAAGGGGAGAGTGTTAATATTGTGTATATGTGCAGGCAACTGGAAAACAGTGTGTAATGATCCTGAAAGAGGATGGAGACTTCCTTGAAGCTTCTCCCAACCTTTTTGGTGCTGACTTCTCGAAGCATGCCAAGGACCACTTGGATCAAGTGAAATTGCTCAAAGCAGTGTCACTCCCAAGTAAACATATCCCCCAGATACAGAGCTCCGGCAACAAGCCAGCTCATGTTTTTCGAAGAGGCCAGGCCAGAAGAAAAGGGTGGAGGCCCCACATTCTCACAAGAGTCATTCAGGGTAAAGACCTCCCCGTCATTAGTCCATCAGAAACTCTCTCAGAAACAACACACATTATTGTTCAATAAAAGTATTTCAAAATACTCAGTCAATACAAAATGCGATTGTAGCCAAGGCCATCATACCACTGCAAAAGCAATTAAGCCCAGCCGGACGGCTCGCACACTTTATAGCCAATTGGCAAAAACTAACAAAGGACTGGTGGGTCCTAAATACTGTATCGGGGTACAAGATAGAATTCATCTCTGAACGCCACCAGTACCAGAGACCCTTCCCAACCCAACTAAATAAGGACCAGCAAAAGCTGGTGTCTCAGGAGATCACAGAAATGATCTCAAATGGGGCGGTATCAGAGATACAAATCCCACAAGAGGGGAGTTTTTTCTCCACCCTCTTTCTAGTACCAAAAAAGATGGCGGCCAGAGGCCTGTCATGAAAAAAAAACCTCAATTCATTCATAAATGCCCAACATTTCAAAATGGAGGGAATCCACACCCTCAAAAGCCTACTCAGGAAAGGAGATTGGCATGTAAAAATAGACTTGAAGGATGCTTATTTTTCAATCCCCATAAAACAACAACACAGAAAGTTCCTGTGTTTCCAATTCAAAAACAAACTATACCTGTTCAACTGCCTCCCATTCGGCCTGGCCTCAGCCCCGTGGGTCTTTACTAAGACCCTAAAGCCTATAGCAGCTCTCGGATGGGAGCTGGTGATACAGTTGGTGGTATACCTAGACAACATTCTCCTAATGGCAGAGACCAAGGAAAAGACCAGCGACCACGAGTCAGGCCTGATACACCTTTTCCAATGCCTAGGGTTCACAATAAACTCGGAGAAGACAATACTACAACCATCCGAGTGCCTAGAATTGCTAGGTTTTATGGTAGATACCATCAAGATGGAGCTGAGTCTCCAACTATAAAAAAAACTATTGGGGGCCGAGCATGTAACATGCCACGCCCTCTCCTGGTTAATTGGCACAATTAATGCCTCAAACCAAGTAATTTTACCAGCTCCTCTTTTCTACAGGAGCCTACAGATAGACCTGGCATCAGCCCTCGAGGAGTGGAACCAAGACTATGAGACAACCCTTGCACTGTCTCCCGACAGCAAGGAGGAACTAATCTGGTGGAACACACAGATGATAAATTGGAATGGCAAAACGCTACTGACAATGGGCCCAGACCTGATAATAGAATCAGATGCCTCGACCCATGGCTGGGGTGCCTCTCATCATGCCTCTAGCACAGGGGGACCCTGGTCTCCCCAGGAGAAGGAGTGCCATATAAAGTGTCTGGAACTGCTAGCGGCAACTCTAGCTCTAACGACATTTGCCAAAAACAAGACAGCAGTGTCAGTGTTAATGAAGATAGACAACACGATAGCAGTTGCCTATGTCAACAATCAGGAAGGGACAGTATCCAAAGAGTTGATATCTCTGACCCGGAATCTATGGATGTGGTGTCTGAAGAGGAACATCCACATCCAAGCTCAGCACCTACCTGGTGTATTGAACCAGGCGGCAGACAGGGAATTCAGATCCATGAGGGACAGATCAGATTGGAGTCTAGATCACTCAACATTTCAAAAAATCAACAGGGTCTACAGGCCACTGGAAGTGGACCTATTTGCATCCAGACTAACCAATCAGTGCCAATGTTACTTCAGTTGGCGGCCATATCCGTTTGCAGAGGCAAGCAATGAATTCCTTCAGGACTGGACAATAATGAAAGGCTTTTGCCAAACCCCCTGGAACTTGATTTCCAGAGTATTAACAAAAACAGAAGCACAGGAGGCAGATGCAATTCTGGTAGCCCCTGTCTGGAAGACACAGCCGTGGTATCCCCTCCTATTGTCATTAATAGTAGATTGGCTACCCCCACAGAGACGCAATATAGAGTAAATACCCATAATGCCCCAATTAGCCGCTTGGAGCATCTCAGGAAGGCCTTAGCAATCAAGGCCTTTCAGGACAAACTTCTGACATCATCATTTACTCTTGGAGATCGAAGATTAGTAAATCATATGACTCATTATTCAACCGATAAGATCGCTGGTGTTCTGAACAGGGTTCAGATCCATTTTCAGGACCTGTGAGTGAGGTTGCAAATTTTCTAGCCTCTTTATACCAAGAGGGATACCAGTATAACTTGGTCAATGCTTACAGGTCAGCCATATCATCAGTACATGACAGAGCGGATGGAGTACCAGTTGGTCAACAACCCATTATCACTGAGCTGATAAGAGGGATGTTCAATGTAAGACCCCCCATCCCCAGGTATTCTAATACTTGGGATGTACAACGGGTACTCAATTTCCTTCCATCACGAGGGAAGTCGGAGACACTATCACTCAAAATGCTGAGACTGAAAAGTGTGTTTCTATTAGCAATCACCAGACCATCCTGGTCTGCAGACTTATCTCAACTAGACACCTCAAGAATGAGGCCAGCTGGCAACGGGGTTTCATTATCACCATCTGCATTAGCAAAACAGTCAAGGCAGGGTAAGCCAATAGAAACTTTCTTCTTCCCTTCCTTCCCCCAAAACCCAATACTGTGCCCGGTGGAGACCATCTCAGTATACATAGACAAAACTAATCAGATAGGGGGGAATGAAACCAGATTATTTCTGTCTTTCATCAAACCTCAAAAAGCAGTAACTTCTAGCACAATCGCCAGATGGCTGAGAAAAGTCTTAGAACAGGCTAGGATAAATACGGAAATTTTTAGGGCTCACTCCACTCGCGGAGCATCAGCCTCAGCAGCAGCTAGAGGCAGAGTTACACTAGAGGACATTTTGAAAGCAGCAAATTGGAGTTCGGAGTCAGTTTTCCAGAAATTCTACAACAAAGAATTTGATCGAGCAGCCTACAGAAGGGCTGAATCAATCAGAATAGCTTGGGAGAAGCTACGAACAACGCAGTTGATATGTGAGACTGAGCCTTCTGAAATGTATTTGTCAGAATGGCCAAGCCATGAAGTGGCTGCAAGCTATTCTAGATTATATGAAGGCAAAGTCGATCATATTAACTGTCCACACTCACCCTCCCAACGGAAGAGGAGAAGCTAATCAAAGGCCAAGGAAGATGGCTGAAGCAGGGGTTTATATAATATGGCAAGTGGGCGATGGGCCAACCAAAAGTTATTAAAATTAGTTATTTAACTGCAAATTAGCTATAAGTTAAGAAAACTGGCCAAACACAGTTGATATGATCGACTTCAACTTCTTCCTATAATCTAGAATAGCTTGCAGCCACTTCGTGGCCTTAGCCATTCTGACAAGCATTATTCATGCTTATTACCCCTTACTTCTCTTGTCCATGTATCTCTTATGTCTAATGAGTCATTAGACATAAGAGATACATAATGACATTCTCTTGTAGCATGGGAATGCTTCTATTCATTTTAACTCATATTCAATGAAGCATCAATCCTCTCTTTCTCATGCCTCTATAATCTTAACTACTCATCTACAAGGAATCAAATAATACAAAATAACGTACATGTATGTGTACATATGAACTACATGTATGCTATAGCTTCATTTTAAGGCTCACCAATAATTCTCTGCCTCTCTATTTCCATTTATTCAATCCTGATCTTCACTTCCTCAAAGTCAAGATCAACAAAGAATGTGTTTCCTGATTTGAAATGACTTGAATATAAGAGCAGCAGTCAGGAACTGGTCACCAGTTAAGTTAGATGGGAGTCCATCAAACAAAACTCCCCTCTTGCAGTCCATGTGTAGGAGTCTGTGTGATATTATTTGAGCCACTCTGGTACTGCAAAATTTGCCAATAGTAAAGAGGCAACTTTAAAGCTCCTCAGACTCTCTCGTTTTAATTCTGGTATCTGTGGAGCTACCAGTGTCTTCCTAAAGGCACTCTTTACCATACAACTGGTCCTCCTTTAATTTATATTGGCACTCGAGGCCATTGGTTGCAGGTTGTTCAATTGCTTCAACTTCTTTGGTTGACTCTATCAGTGACTCATGTGCTTTACAACCAGCAGAGGTACTAGCAGTAGAGACTGCATCAATTGTTAGTGTGGGTACATTGTATAAAGCAGCTGGTTTGCGTGACTGTTTTGTTTTACCAGAGTAAGGGGAGCCATATATAACAGTGGCAACGCCTTGTATCATTTCAGAAAATGCCTGTGGTGATATATCAATGCAAAGGTATGTAGCTATGCATGCTACAACTGGTGATATATCATACCCATCCAACTGCTGGTTGTTGTAGAGCAAACCAACAGTTGAATTACTAAGCATTGCAGTGGAGATTGCTTGTGGCAGGATGGCAGTGGAGTTAGGTAAAGGTGAGCAGAACTCTAAGGGTTTCATTGGGTTTAAGAGTGAGTCTCCTAAAGCTTCAGGAGGTGCCTGAGCAACAGAGACGATACCATCTTCTGGATTGATCCCCTCTGATGTATCATGATCTGAATCGGTCATCAAAGTGCCTTGGTTTGATAAATGTCCTTGTATGCTTCCATTATCTCAAAAGGCAGTCCCTTCCCAAGCTCAACTAGCATAATGAAGAAATGTTTCTTCATAATGTAGCCTTTGACTCATCTCAAGATTTAGGCACAAAAACTAAATCTATGCCAACATGTAGACATAGGTGCAGGAACTAGAACATAAATGTAGACATACATGTAATCCTTGTACAAGTACACACATTACATGTACTGTAAGCATAAAAAGCACTCATTCTTGTTTCTTCCGTTCTCACCTTTACCCTCTCTCTCTCATATACATAAGTACATTGTATTTTTCTCTAACCTCTTCCTTCAGTAAATATTGTTTATCAAATTCAACTGACAAAAACTCAATAGGATTCTCATTGGGTTGACAGTCACCTCAACTTCAGACCCATAGGTGGTGAAGGCAGTACTTACAAAAATTTCATGAAATGCTTATCTAACACCAGGTAGCTCATTACCTCATCCTTCCATATTCCATACCAGATATTGTAATAGAGAATTTCTAAGTCATCAACTATGATAATTATAATGATAATAGTAATAAATGTATGTTGCTAAAAATTACGATACTTGCAATAAAGTTTATTTCACATGTACTTGTAACTTTCATGTCAGAAATCAGGACGTTTAACTCCACTTTCAACTTGTCATAGTCCATAAAAGTTGACAATGTCATTGTTTTGAACAAGTATGTACATGGACACCACGGATGACATCTTGACAGACTTGACAGTGATCAAACTCAGCTTATTCCATTTGCAGTTACTAATTGTACAAATCGATGCGAATATAATGAAGATACTATAACATTAATTATTTACATTATGTACATATATACTATCCTTCACATGAGTTTTCCATGCCTGTTTCAACACAGCATGTTCACCCAAATAGATAGAATACCAACTTCTTTTCATGGCATAAAACTCAACAAATGTAATATAACTGGTAAAATCTATAAAATAATTTGACATAAATTGCCATTGACACAGCCCAGCATATTCCTACCTTCTCTTGCCAAAATTCTCCCTTATTTCTTCATCTTCAAACCCAAACTGAAAAAGGACTTTATCCATCTAAATGAATACTATAAATCTATAAATTTTGGGGTAAAATAAAATGAATACATCTTACTTTATCATCGTTACCACCACCTAACACCATCTTACAAATAACAATAACTAATTGATGGGCATGACAGTCTTGCCTTATATGTTTTATCAGTGTAAGTAATGGAGATCAGATAATTGAACTTGGAAGCATTTGGCTTGCCATATTCACTAACGCACACCGACTGTTTCAAAATTACCGATTAAAACTAACATTGTAGTATGGAACGCCAAATGCGACAAAAATAAAAAAGAATGGCTGATAATAATGAGAAATCTTGTTGATGCTATGGAACGCCAAATGTGACAGAAATAATCACTATTTATGTCTTGTCTATGCCAAAAACTGAGATCAAGTTGATTTTCGATGTCTAGCTCATGCCATGTGCCCTGCCATCTGGGTCATTCCTTTAGGTGTGGCTTTTGTTTCTAAGTAGGTGAAGCATTACTTAAAATGGATGACACAGAGAACGTGGTGTTTCACTTAGTAAAAGAAACAGTACAAGAGGTACTGCAATAATATTCTATGCCTGAAGCCTATAAAGAAGAGTATTCTATAAATGTCATTGATGTGGTACGAGTCTTGGAAGTATTTGTTCCAATTTATGGCTCTATAGATGGAGATGAATTTTTGAATACTTTGTAGACTTTAGCACAGGCCACGATCAATGAAGAAGAAAGCAAAATTGCTGTAAAAAGAAAGGGCAGGTCAGAAATATTGATTGATGAAGATCAACTGAGGTATCTTGTAGCGCAAGGCTCGTCATTCAAACACACAAGCCTAATGTTTAGTTGCTGTAGTAGGACAACTGAAAGGAGGATGGCAGAGTCTGAAATTTCTTTACACAAGCATTCTTTACTGACTGATGATTATCTACATCGGATTACTTTTGAGAGAGTAGCATTATTTCCAAGATGTGGAGAGAATTTGCTGATTAGTCGCCTCCAATCTAGAGGTATTGTAATCCAAAGGGAAAGAGTCATGGAATCATTGCGGAGAGTTGATCCAATTGGTGCCATGGCTCGGTGTAGAGGTCGGTTGCATTGTCAGCAGTACAGTGTTCCTTCTACTAATGCTTCTTTGCATATAGAGAGATATTACAAGCTGATTTGATTGGCATACATAGGGGCATTCATGGCTTTAGCAGATTAATTACATTTCTAAATGTTTCTACTAATAACGTATCAAATACAGTCATTCATGAAACGTGAGGAAGAGATTGGACTTCCTTTACAAATCAGAACAAATGAACGAGGAGAAACTGTAGCTGTGGCATCATACATGATGAATTATTGAAGTCCACAGATTTA